ATATATGCGTTAGGCCCGGTCACGTATCCTATCTACAAACACAGCAGAACCGATGCACATACCTAGTATAAATATATGTCTCATGTCTACATCACCTATCCATATACCTACTCACATACCGCCCTCATCCCCATTCACCCCCCATCCATCCGACTACAGAGGACGCTGGCGTAACAAAAGAAATCGACACGTCCATGCCAGGGTCTCTCACCGACCCCAGATACAAGTACAACAACACGGTGATCAACTCCTTCGGAATCCTGACTACCGGGTTCAATGTGTACATCAATCTCGATCGCAACTTCAACTTTTACATATCCAGCGTGCTCGTGCCAATCGTATTGACGGCTATGATGTGCATGGCTGTGTTCTGGTATGTGTGTGTGTGTATGTTGGTATAGGGGTGGTCTGGCTTATTTCAAGACGGCATGGCATTCTCTATATAGTTCAAGTACTTCGCATCTATATGACCGTTTCACGTATGTGTATGGATATTCATATGTATGTGTGCGTTTGCAAGTGTATATACTTCTTATTCTGTAGTTGGTGATATGTTTGTCGTTGAAAACATATGTAATTACGCTGAGTGCATAGTTCTCTCTTTCTTGCACTTCAATAACGATGCCGCACGCACAAGTGAACACCGTCACCATGGCAACCATCAAAGGCGTGATCGTGCATTTTGCGGGCCTGTATGTTATTGAAAATGTAAATTCGTGGAACTACACAAAAACGCGGACGTTTTATTCCGAAAGAACAGCGTGTGGTGTATGTACACTTTTTCGCTATGGTTTTGGCACTTTTCCTACCCTTGCAAATCGCTCGTTTAGTAATCTCTCTCCATATTTAGAATCGGGATTATCAAACCTGCATAAACAAACCTAAACCCAAAATTCCCGAGTTTTCAAAATCTACTTTGGGGGCTACTAATCGGGATTGTCTCCTTTCGAATACAGGATGGATCCCCACAGTATAGCCGAAAGGGTGGGTGTAGTGATCACCCTCTCCCTGGCCTTGACTGCTCTGCACTTTGTGATTAATGACAAACTACCGGACAGCTCGTATGTGATTAACTCTGTAGCTAACGTGTTGTTCTTATCGCATATGATATATATATATATATATGTATGTGTGTGTGTCGTACATAAACGTTTGTTGTTTTAAATATATGTACTATATATATCTATGTACATATGCGTTTGTTGTACTAGTTATATGAGGTATATATATATATATATATATACACCTAAACGTTTGTTGTTCTAAATATATGTGCTATATATATGTATGTACATAAACGTTTGTTGCACTAAATATACGAGGTATATATATATGTATACACATAAGCGTTTGTTGTTCTAGTTATATGTGGTACACGTATGCATGACATGTATGTGTAGTGTATGATTGTGCGTGTATTTCATATGTATGTGTGGTGTATGTCTGTACATTCAACCATATATGTATATGTGATGTATGTTTGTACATATAATATATGTGTATGTGTGATGTATGTTTGCGCATATAACACATATGTAAGAGTGATGTATGTTTGTACATACAACACATATGTATATGTGATGTATGTTTGTACATATAACAGTGGTATATGTGATGTATGTTTGCACATTTAACACATGTATGAGTGATGTATGTTTGGACATACAACACATATGTATATGTGATGTATGTTTGTACATTTAATATATGTGTATGTGTGATGTATGTTTGCGCATATAACACATATGTAAGAGTGATGTATGTTTGTACATACAACACATACGTATATGTGATGTATGTTTGTACATGTATCAGCGGTGCGATTATCTAGTACAGGGCACCGTTAGTCTGCCAGACAGCTCTGATATCTGCGTTTAGGTTTGTCCTGTTTTCATAGCCCACGTCTGTTAAGCCCTAGTGCCTACCCTGTACCTTGCCTTAGTCACCTCACAGTCCGTTGATCAATGAATTACGAATCCTTGGCAAACCACTTACTTAGACAGCTTGCGTGCTGTCGAGTGTGCATGTATGTATGTTCGTGTGACTGTTTGTTGTATACTGTTATACGTATCATTCGTAGTCCAATACGCCCCTCAGAGTGAGCCGCAAGAGCTCGGCGGGTATGTTGACTGCAGTTTGAGTTATTAATGTGTGTGTACGTCTGAATGTGCACAGATGATATACGGCAGCATTGGCTGTCGAGAGTTCTAGTTGAACTGTATCCACATAGTCTTACTGTTAATGGCACTAAGTGTTAGTTGAACTATATCCACATCATCTTGCTTTTAATAGCGGTACCATAATAACGGATGTTCACATTTCGACACCTCAGATACTTCCCGGGTGTGACCATCCTGATTGTGGTCTCCAACATCATCTTGTTTATTATTCTGATGGAGTCAATCGTAGTATACTCCTTAACAAAGGTATACGAGATGTGTCTGTTATTTGAGCGCATATTTGTAGATGTTGTGTGTTGGGAAAATGAAGGTGAGTACAGACTTTATCACATTC